GAATAGTTCTTGACATAGAAGGTGCAGTGTAAATGCAGGTTATTGTTGCTATCTGAGTGATTTAAATGCTACGTATCTTTGGCTGCTCTGAGTTGTAGATCAAGAGCAAAGCTTTCCCTGGTGCCTGTAACTAAGACCTCTCTGACTTGGATGGGCTTTGCCCTGTGGATATCCCCTCTGGACTCCAGGCAATGAACATCTCCAGAACGAGGGGAGAAGAAAGTCCAATCAGGGGCCAGACAGGCCACGGTATTCAGTCTGCACTATAGCTCCTCACCCTGTGGCGCTGGGCATCCTTCCCAGCTCGTAATTCCCTTCACAGAGAAAAGCTCGGAAATCTCACTGAAAATCAACGAAAAGGTCCTGAAATGTTGAAGTGGAACTGTGTGTATTATTTGTGAGGGAATATTGACGCCACACTTTCAGACTACAAGAGCAACGGTTTGTAAACTGGGATGGATCTACTTTTGACTCAAACTCATTTACTGTCTAGCTATGTTGTTTCTCAGAAAATATATTTCCCAGCTCTCTCCACTGGAGGAACACATGCAAGGTCACCTGTAACATCTTCTTTCTTTGTTTTCTCTTTAAGTCAAATTGGGTAAACCATAAGCTCCCAGGTGGGTGTTTATAGTAAAGCTGCAGATGAGGCAAATTACTTCCTCATCTTTAAAACCATGATCTCTACACTCTCCTCCAGCTTTTAAATTGGGATTCTCAGAGTATTCTGTCTATCTTATGTAGCACATCACGTAGCTGGAGACACCAGGAGTGTGCTATGTCTAAAAAGACTTAAGCAGCAGAAGAGAACCTGTCTCATTTAACAGCTGCAGGGACAATATATATTTAGAAAATGCATCTCATCGGTAAGTTGGGATATTTTTGGCTGGGTGTTTAGGTTATGCAGAGTTACAAAATGTGTTTGTGTAAGGGTGTGTGTGAGTGGTAGGGCTCGGTAGGGGGTGGTTTTCTCCTTTTGTCCTGGTTGCTTCTCTTTGGTTGCATAAATTATTAAAAAGAAAACAAAAAAACTGTTTCACATATTTGTAACATGTTCCTCAACTTGTTTTAATGGTAATATTCACCATGAGTAAAGATACAAATACACAAATATATATAAATATGGATATATATAACAAAAATATATAAATATATTTAAATTATGCAAATATCTATGTACAGTGTTTCAGTTTATTCGATGCAAGGTCAAGTTCTTGGTGTCTTTGACAAATGACTCAGAAAGAACCTTTGGAGGGTATTCAGTCCAACTTAGGTTTACAAATGAGAAATTTGAGTGTTAGAGTGGTTATTTCATTCGAGGTAAGTGGTCCCTGACCAAGGCAGAACTAGACCCTGGCCTTCTGACAAGGAGCTCAAGTCAGTGTTTATCGTATTTGGCTTAACAGTAACAGCACATATAATTACATAGAAAAAGGAATGCTTAACCAGCAGGGCTCAAAGGAACACATTGTATGAATTGCTGGGAAGTGATTTTGAAGACCTCCTCGAAGCAGATGTTAACAGTGAAAGAATATAGCACCAGCCATAGTCCTCATCTGCTGGGGTCAGCCAGAGCTAGCAGCAATTCTCCGAACCTCTAGCAATACTAAATGCTCCCTGAATAACGAAGCAAGGCCCTTGCCCTGGAGATACGCAGAGGCTCACAAGTGAGTCAGTCATATAAAAAAAAAAATTTGTTATGTGAGTCCCCTGCGGTGTATGCATTTAAATACTTCTGGGGCAATGCTAAAATCTGCACCTGCCATAGGCTTTCAATTATATGTGGAATCTAAAAAACAAAACAAAACAAACAAAAGCCAGAAATAGACTGATGAATACAGAGAACAAACTGTGGTTGCCAGAGGGGAGGGGTGGGAGGAAAGCAGGAGCAGGTGAGGGGAGGCATCAAGTCCCACTTACAAGTAAGTCACGGGGATGACAAGTACAGCATAGGGATTACTACAGGTCAGGAATAGCTTTGTATGGTGACAGATGGTAACTGCCCTAACTGTGCGAGCATTTTGAAATCACAGAATTATCTAATCACTCTGCTGTACATCTTAAACATATTCTGTCAGATGTACTTCCATTAAAAACTGATCTGCACCTACAGTCTCTCTACCAGTATAAACGGCTGTGTTTTCCTGGTCTGTGTTTTTGTGTTTCCCCCCACCCTCCCCAACGCACAAATAGTATACTGGAGCATTTTTGTAGAGTATGTAAAGATAAGGCAGGGGGAGGATTGCTCTCCCAGATTAGAGGGGGCGATGGGTAATCCAGGGTGTTAAAGTTTTAAATACCGAAACTCTGATTTTTTATTTTTTTAAATTTCTTTGTCGTTACAGGTGATAGAAAAGTAAAAGAGCAGGGTGGCTCCTGAGTGGCTCAGTGGATTAAGCCTCTGCCTTTGGCTCAGTTCATGATCTCAGGGTCCTGGGATGGAGCCCTGCATGGGGCTCTCTGCTCAGCAGGGAGTCTGCTTCCCCTTCTCTCTCTGCCTGCCTCTCTGCCTACTTGTGATCTCTGTCTGTCAAATAAATAAATAAATTCTTTAAAAATTTTTTTTAAAAAGTGAAAGAGCTGTCGGGGCAGCAGGCTTATTTAGTTTAAAAGAACAACCATTAAAAACGCATGAAGAATTTTTTTTCTCTCCACTATTGTTATTACAATACAAAAAATTTTGCTGTTTTATATCCAACCTCAATTTGGGTTAAAGGAAGACAATTTGTTCCTCTTCAAGTGTTTTTGAAGGTTTTCAAGGCAGATTTAAAATATTTTGGCTTTTAAATTAAGCAGTTTTTTCAAATTTTAAAAGTAAATTCAGGCTTAGCCCTCACGGTCCCAAAGTGCCAAAGGGAGTTGAACATAATCCCAACTGACAGAGATGCCCACACGACCCATGAAATGTGAGCTTTGGGATGTCACGTTTTAAATACAACTTGGACGTAAGGACAGATGTTTCCCTTTGCAGAAGTCACTATAATTTCCATCGGAAATTACCCGAGTTAGGAGCTGTCCTCCTGGCCAGTGGCTCTGGAGGGGTAGTCATGGACACTGCTTCCTGATAAATACCTTCCTTCTTAATTCAAAAGCCCTGAAGAGCTTTTGAAGACAAAAGTTATCTCATTTTCACATGCTGTTAAGAAACTGAAAATAACTTTGAAAAGTGTACAATAGAAAACTGACCCTTGACTATATATAAAGCTGGCCTTTGGTTATCATTCAAGCTCTTCTTTTGGGAAATCTGACTGAGGGCTCTGAGTGACAATTCATTGGGAGACTCTGGTCTGAAATCCTGCATCCTCCCAGGACTGAGAAAGGAAAAAGCAAAGACATTTTGAAGAAAAATCCTAAAAGAAAGATAAAAGGTAGGAAAGTGTGGGTCTGAGGCATTCACACTTCATCATTCCTTCTACAAAGTTGACTGGTACCCTCGGCGCAGTGTTCACCAGATGTGCTGGTGAGGAGCAAGACAGACACTGTGGGGCCTGCTCTGAGCTCATTCTATTGGTGTCATTAAATGAGCAACTACAGTGGTGTATGGTAAGTTCCCTGGTAGGGCAGAGCTTCGTAACATGTCTGAAAAAGAATGACATAAGGGATAATTAAAGCTAAATCTCTGGGGATGAGACTCAGGCTTTGTAGGGTCTAGAAACTCTCGATAATTCAACTATGCAGTAAAAAATGGAGTCATTGGGGTGGGGCAGGGTAAGTGTAGGATGCTAGGTGAGCACATGGTTCTCAACACTTAGAGGACATCAGTATCACCTCTTCGCTTCTTAAGCACAAATTGCTGGGCTCCATCCTCAGAATTTCTGATCCATAAGTCTGGGGTGTGGAGAGGCCAAGAATTTCCAATTCTAACAAGTACCCAGTGATGTGGATGCCATGGGTCCCGGGGACCACATTTTGAGAACCACTGTGGTAGCACCAATTATTCTAGCTGAGAGAGCTGAACCAGGTGTCCCAGAAGGAGTGATATTTGAGGTAAACTGCAAAGGCTGATGGGGGTTAGGGAGGTGTGTGAGAACATAGAAACACTGTCTGAGTGTGTGGTGGACAGAAGATGGAGGAAAGGTTTCATTCAGAGGGAAGTACTGAGCAAGGGTCCAGACATAGATCTGCAGGGCTGACGGAATGTTCACAATAAATGGCTACAACCAGGTCATGGCGGGGTGGGGTAGGGAACACTACAGTCCCACTGAAGAATTTGGGATGTATTTTAAGAGTAATGACTAGGTATAGGGTGTAATGAGATGTGTAAATTTTTGTAAATTTGCAGTGAGTACATTATTGAGCTTGGGTTAAAGGTGGACAGAAATGGAGAAAGTCCAGTAAAGAAGCTGTTGCAGTTTTCAAGTAAAAGATAGGAGAGTTTGCAAAAGGATGAGAGCAGTGGTAAGGAGAGACAGGACAGATTCCAGAGGCCTACAAGGTAGAATAATAAGATCTGGTGACTGAATGAGGGTGGAAGCAGGGGAGAGGGAGATGAGGAATGAAAACCTGACTGGATTTGGTAACAGGTGTTAGTAATGCCTCTCTCACAGGTGTTAGGGTGGTCGGTCAGTGGCAATAGATAATGAGTTTGGACCCACTAAGTTTGGGGTGCTTGGAAAACCCTTATTTATTTTAAAAAAATTAAAATTTTATTTATTTATTTGACAGAGAGAGACAGCGAGAGAGGGAACACATGTAGGGGAAGTGGGAGAGGTAGAACAGGCTTCCCGCAGAGCAGGGAGCCCGATCCCAGAACCCTGGGATCAGGACCTGAGTCAAAGGCAGATGCTTAACGACTGAGCCACCCAGGTATCCCTTGGAAGACCTTTAAATGGAGAGGTTCAGGAGGTAGATGCATGATCTGGATGGAGTGCGGTACGAGCTGGAGATAAATGTGTGGCTTGGTTACCAGCATGGAAATGACAACGGAAGGCATGGGTATCCAAGGGGACTAGAGAATGAGCAGGTAGAATGAGATAAATGGAAGGAAGCTTGGGTTCATGGGTTTCTTGGGTTCTGGAGACTCTGATGGCTGAAGCTGAGATAGTCCTGTTCACTGCAGGATGAATGATCCTATTCTGTCTCAGAGGTGGGGTTGAGTAATGTGAGAGAGAGAGGTTCGGAACTGTCTACATATGAAGGACACAAGATTGCTTCTTGTTATGTCTAGGACAGGTGCCTTTAATCTTCCTCCCCTGCATGTGGCTAGAAGAGACCACGAGGAGCTCTGCAGGCTGGTACCACCAGACCACATCAGGGTCACCGCTGGGGGAAGGCAAGGCTACACCGGGCCGATTTAGGATTCTCAAGCACTGAACTCTAAACCAGACCTCTAAAGATATGAAGCCTTTGGCTGCCATATCTGCCTTTGCTCTTGAGGAAAACACTTGAGGCCAAAGACCCTACTCTGGGTGAGCCGAGGTGGGGACGGTGGTGGGGCGCCTCTTTGTTTTCCCATACATACACGACTGCTGCGTGTATGGCACACTTTCTGTTACTTAGTTTGGGGCCGTACCTGTAACTATAGGGACTTGGGTTAAATAAAAAGGGGAGGGGGGTCCTATCCGCAGGGAACTTATTAATAGGGATGTAACAGACATTTTTTAATCCAGTAACTCAGGAATAATGTAGAATGTAGTTGTAAACGGTCTACAATTGTAGATATCAATGTAATATTGAACTGAAAAACAAAACAACAAAACCTCCCGCACCCGTTTTTCTAGCTTTTATTCTCATTCAGGAGAGAGCGAGAACTGCAGGTCCCTCACCCCCCACCCCAACTTAAACTACGTAAACCACGTCCCCGCGCATCCGACGGGACAGGTCCTCACAGTCCCTTCATCCCACGGGGCTTCTCCAGCGCCCCGCAGAACGCTTGCCGCTGCTCACTGCTGCCACCATGCGGGCAAGCGTAAGAATGGAACATCCGTCCCTTCTGTTACTGAATTCAGACAAAGAAATGCAGAATAACAACTTTCCCTATTGATATTCTTTTCCCTCTTTCATTCCCTCACTTCCTCTCCCCTTTTTCCTGTCTTTTTCTTTCTTTCAGTTTCTTTTCTTTTCTTTCTTTCTTTCTTTTTTTTTTTTGAGGGAAGCACACTTTAGAACACTATAAACTTACAGTATTAGCATCTAAACAATTTCTCTTTTTAAATTCACCAGTGGCCTAATATTGTGGGATTTTTTTTTTTTTCAGGGTGAACGGTGGGGTTGGTTCGGGTAATTTTTCTCACTTTTTTACCAGCTTTGATTTAGGCCACACAAAGAAGCGGGTAGAGCCTAATGAGAAATGAGCTGAGTACCAAAAGTAAAGAAAAACCACCTCTTTGCCCCCTCTATTTCAAAGAACCTATCCACTTCAGATGTTAGAATCTGTCTTAATGATTTTTAGATGTCTTTCCTTGCAGATTTGACATCATCCTTCACAATTTAACTCAGCATGGCTTAAATTTCAAACAATGGTGTTAATCTACTCAATCAAATTATATGGTACTAATTAATAAACTACAACACATTCTCTACCAGAGTATCATCTTACTCATGTTTTAAAAGAAGCAACAACTATGGTGAATTAAATAAAATGAAAAAAAAACCTTCCACTTTCACAACTGTTTGTCTTTTCATATCAGGCAGAATAGGATCCTTAGCTCCTGAAAAGCCTGAAGGGATGGATGACATCTCTATATTTGTCCCTACTGAGGTTTATTGGACTTGATAAATCTTGTATCTCAGCTGGGGAACCCTGGATATCTGATCCGAGTATTTATAACATAATTGGAGAAGACAATTGCTGGTACTGTTTTTTGCTGGTGTATCACACTTGAAGACCTAACAGGGAAACAGGATCCCCACCCACCTCTGGTGTCATCAGAGAATCCAAGAGGAGAAAAGGGAAATGAGACGTGCTCTTACCATTATCGTTGCCTTGCTTGATTTCCTCTGCCGTCCGATCTATTAATACATACAAAGACCAAACCACACAGGTGATCGCAATTACGTGGAATGTGACCGAGCAGAATATTTTCCTCCTTTCGCTCGTAGTCATCTGTAGTTTCTCCCACTGCAATCATAAATGAACCACACAACACTGAGTTTCTAGCTAGGGAATTTTGCTCCCCATTTATATCCCAGACATACACCAAAAATGGAGGAAAATCATAAAATATCCACAATTTCACACAACATGACAACATTCAAATAAGTCTTGTGTGGCAAAGATACGGAATCATAACCCCTGGAGTTATATATAACTTAAATATATATTAAAATGAAAACAAATATCTTCCTGTTCTCCAAACAAATTAAATTAAGTAATTTCTGTTTCACTAGCCTGTAGTCTCCTTGTTTGTGACACAGATGAGATAGTTTTACAGTTGGACAATTTTTAGAAAACATTTCCTTTCAGGTTTCTGCATATCACTTCCTTGTGGTAGATTATAAATAGTAATAAATAGATTCTTCTTGGATGAATACTTAATTAGATACAGTGTTACATTCTTGAACATATACATTAACAAGTGTTTGAATGGCTGAATAATATCTGTGAGAGAAAGTTACCATCTGCTCACAGCCCTTGTCCTAGAGAACACATTTTATCATCTGGCCAATGGGAGAAATTTCATCCTTTGAAGCACAGTCTTGATTTGCTGCTACTATTACTCTCAAAATCACTGTCCCTTAGTCAAACACTCCTCAGAAAGTTGAGGGCTGCTCCCTTCAGGGACAGAAGAGAGCCACAATTTTCACAGGGTCAAGTTCAGGTTTATATGAAGGAATGTGTCCATTATTTACTCTGGAGAAACATACTCTCAAAATCTGAATGCCTTGACACCTACTGTATCATTTCATTTCTGGGTTAGGAATTGTGTCTTTAGTTTTCTTTGCACTATTTCTTTTTTTTTATTATTATTATTACCATATAATGTATTATTTGTTTCAGGGGTACAGGTCTGTGATTCATCAGGCTTACACAATCCACAGTACTCACCATAGCACATACCCTCCCTGATGTCGATAACCCAGCCACCCCATCCCTCCCCTATAACCCCCCAACAACTCTCAGTTTGTTTCCTGGGATTATGAGTCTCTTATGGTTTGTCTCCCTCTCTGGTTTCATCTTGTTTCATTTTTCCCTCCCTTCCCCTATGATCCTTTGTCTTGCTTCTCAAATTCTGAGATCATATGATAATTGCCTTTCCCTGATTAACATTAACTTATTTCACTTAGCATAATACTCTCTAGTTCCATCCATGCTATTGCAAATGGCAAGATTTCAGTTTGGGTTTTCTTTTTTTTAAATTGCTCTTTGTATTATTTCTAAAGAAAAATCAAATCCCTGTGATCTGATGTGCCAAACTTTTAAGAAATCATCATATTTCCCATTCTTATTATGCTCTTGCTAAAGCAAAAGCTTTAGAACTTCAGATGACCCTATTCCTTTCCCAGGGCTCCCACCTATAATTCCATACCCAACTCAGCCAAAGGCAAGAGGGCATATGTTACCGCCCTGTAAGTCCTGGCCATGCCACCCGCTTGGAGGCATGAGTGAAACTGCTTAACTTCTCTGGGCCAGTTTCCTCATCTCCACAAGTGGCAGATTATGGCATAGGTTATGATGGAGAGGTTTGGGAAGAAGATACATTCTTCCCTTTTTCTTTTACCAACAGACTCATTCTGTGAGGGTTGGCATCTTGCCCAGCTAGAAGCTGCTTTCCAACCTTCCCCAGCAGAGGTCGGCAATGACTGGTTTCCACCAATGAGATGAGATGGCAATCTACTGGGGTATCGAGTTTTTGTCTTCCAGACACAGGAGCTGCCTCTTCTTCCTTCCCTTCATTTTCTCTTCTTTGTTACCTGGAATTCATAATTAAAGGTGGGAATCCCAACAGCCACCTTGCAACGTCAAGGAAAAGTCTTGAGAACTGGGGAGACCTCAGTCCAACAAGCCATGTTTCATTTCTGGATGCCCACTTATATGGGAAGAAAACAAAGCTCTGCCTGATTGAGTCATTATTTCTCAGGACTCAGCTATTTGCTGTCAAGTGCAATTCCTGATAAAAGAATTAAATTAATACTTCCTAACTTCCCTTCCAGTCTGACAATTAAGATCCTATAATTTCATTAGTAAGAAGGTACAGCACTTAGTGCCTGATCATCATGTTCAGGAAAGGTTGGGAAACACTTTAGAGAAATAAATGTTTCATTTCCAAACACCATCCATTCCCCTCCTACTGGCTCGTCGTCAACACGGTTTTCCTTGTAAGGAGTTCTTAGAGCGAACTAAAAATTTTACACTTCATCTTGTACTTTTATTCCCTTAAACTATATTTTGTATATTATTCCAAATAAATAATGGAGAAATCTTGGTAATGCAGCTCTGGGAAAACCAGGTGCTTCAATCTAGGATCTGTTTTTAATTAATCAGCATTGAACTGAGAAGATTTTATTATGTGTATTTTAGCTTTTATCCTAAGTTCGCTCCAATTTTGTGAAAGATTGATTTTTGAAATTCTTTTTTTGTCATCCATCCATTGTCACGTTCATCTGAATAGCCTATATAATTATAAAATAGAATATTATCATTTGGCAATAGCATTTTGTGATTTAGTAACTTTTGTGAATTACCTTATAGTCAATAAAAAAATGCAGGATGGTGCAGAAAAGTGGCTTTACATATTCAAATTTCCCAAATGTTCCCAGGGGATGAAAATACTTTCAGTAAACAGAATATCCAGACTAAATCAACACTCATTTGCAAAACTGGCTTGAAAAAGAACCTTAAGAATTGTGTCTTCTTTTATCTAAGGAGCATTTTGACAGAGTGGCTGAAACACATTCTTCAAATGTAATGAGCCCCAGAGAAAGAAACATCCATGGGGCTGACAGGGCTGGACCAAGCCATTTGTAAAGACTCCTTCTGCTTCCAGACATTAGACTCTCCTAAGCTGTCACTTCCTGAGCTCCGAGCATGTTAAGGGGAAGTGAAGTGCAAAGGGACCACCAGACTCGCCTGCTTTCCCTTACAAATTCTTACAGGACTGCTCAGGAATTGGAGACAGCACACAGGTAAGTGCAATGCCACAGCGCCCTCTCCCTGAAGACGACGTCACTGCACCCAATACTCCGCACAGAGCGCCAACAGCAATCCCTGTATTTTTAAAAATGTTCAGCCATCTCCTCGTGTTTTCACGTTTGTAGCTGAAGTTTGAATACGTTTTTCAAGGCTCTACACTGAGGAATGGATCGAGAGGGCAAGGATAGAAATCTTACTTTAACAAAGCTGCCGTGGAGGGGCTCTGATTTAATATTTGGGATGCTGAAATTTAAATACCACTTCACCCAAGGTTTTGTGACAAGACAGTGATAATCTGCCCAGATGCACACAGCCTTTGTACCTCCTGTCCAGTTCTATGAAGCAGTGTGTGCCGAGGTCCACATGAGCCCAGGTATGATGTTGACCTTTGGGATCTCTCTGAAGGGACGGATGAGAGCTTTCCCAGTGTCAGGTGGCTGGGTGGGTTACCTGCCACTCAGCAGCAGTGTCAGCCTGGCCTGGGCACTTGTTCCGGGTGCAAATTCTCATTTGGAGAGTTCTTCTAGGTCCACTTAGGAGAGGACTCTGTGTTGGCCTTGCCCACGGGCACACAGAAAATGTTAGCGTTTGTTCCGTCACAGATGACACACAGCTCTCTGTGCCTCATTTTTGCCTCCTGGCTGCAGGGCAGTGGGCCATTGCCTTTCTTCCTTAGGTTACTCAGGCTCCTGTCAAATATCCATCCTCAAGTCCCTCAGTTTTAAGAGGACACATGTGTCTCCAGGTGTACTCAAGGAAGCTGGTGTAGCTGAGAAGCCAGCAGACCCATTTCCTGCCCTGAGGGACAGCCATGCACCACAACATACCACTCTGATTTCTTCAACTCTTTACGCTGCCAGCTCTCCTGTCTGACCCCCATCTGTCGGCAGGTCCTCTTTAACTCATTCAAAATGGGGGATAAGCTAATGTGGGCCAAGCCGCACATCTTAGCACCTCTGACACAGGTGATCTTGCACCTTGCTGTAGGCTGTACAATCTCTAGGTCTTTGGTACCTGTTTTATTGTTCTTGCCCTTTGGTTCCTTACTGAAACCCCTCAACAACAGAAAGAATTGAGCAGAGCTCTGTTATTCACTCAGAACTATACAACTAGATTTTTTCTGAGGACTTCCAAATTGAAGTATAAATTGATGCAAACATTGTTTCTGTGCAATTTTCCATTCGTGCTCACTAAATCAAACTGTGCAGGTTTTCTAGTTATAATTACTTGTATTTGCATTCTGTCCTAAAATATAAAATAAAAAATACCATCCAATAAGAATGCTGTCAATCTTCGTATCAGTGGAGAATAAATGCATTTCACTTGCACAGTAGCAAGGTACAAGGGCTGGGGACTGCTTTACTCCTCCATTTCCTCTTCTTCCTTGACGTATTTCCAACTACATTTTCTAACTTTTTAAAAAATTTTATTTTATTTTATTTTCAGTGTTCCCGAATTCATTGTTTATGCACCACACCCAGTGCTCCATGCAATACGTGCCCTCCATAATACCCACCACC